AAGAGAGGCGTGGCGCGGCCAGTTGAGGAGGACCAGGTCTTGAGGGGGCCGGCGTCGAGCCCGTGCGCGCCGGGGCCGGGGGCGCTGAGGAGATCGAGGTCGTCGGCCACGCGCGCCGCGGGCTGCTCCGCGTCATTGGCATATTCTGCCCCATCAACGACTGCTTGGTCCGCGCCCCCCGCGACGACGACATGTCGCCGCGCGTGGGCCAGGTTGCCCTCCTCCACCTCCAGGAGGGCGAGGAAATCCTCATCGACTCTGAAGACTGCTTCAAGTTGTTCACGCTCCCGGACGAGCGGCTCGGAGACTCCGGCTACGAGAAGCGGGTTCCAGGCCGCGTCGTGGGAATGCCTGATCGCGAGTGGGTGCGGCCGGCGTTGAGGGTGGCGCCCGTGGGCTGGGTCAGCCCGGTCGCAGTGATGCAGGCGGTGGCTCGGGAGATGGCGTCCGGCCTGGCGGGGGCCCCTCGCGACGCGGAGGTTCAGGAGGACCGCGACCTCCCCGGCCGGGGCGAGCTCTCCATCCTATACTTCGATTTCCACGATTGCCTCAGGGTTGCCGACGAGGCTGCCATTGCCGCCCTGGCGGGCGAAGACGCGCCGGAGCACGGGCGCTGCGCGCTGGTGCGCGCTGACCTAGGGCCGCCCCTGAACGCGGGCAAGTCGCTGATGGGCGCCACGCGCGCCTCTTTGCAGGGCGGCTTCCTGGACTCGGAAAGCGGTGCCTTCAGTCTCGAGCCCTCGAAGGGGTGCGAGCTAGCATAGATTGGCCTCTTGCTGCTGTCGCAGAAGACGTGGGGCATTTGGCAGCTCCGGCACTGGCGCGGGAAAACATGCTTCGCGTCGGTTTTTCGGCGGCCGCTGTGCGCTGTCCTCCATGAGGTGTTCTGGCAGGTCCCGCTCTTGGAGGGCGGTGCCGCGGCCCCTGGGCGGCGCCCTTCGACGAGGTGCTTTCGTTCGCGGTGTTGCTCCCGCTCGCGTTCGCGAGCTTGCGGGCTAAGGTTGGCCCTTGGCGTCGCGTTCCGACGCCTCCCTGCCCAGCGGCGGCGTCGCAGTCGCAGCCAATTTCCGACCTGTGGCGGCCTCGCCCCAGCCAGGTGCGTGGGCCGAGCCGCCCAGTCAGGCCGGCCTCGTGAAGGCTCGCGGTAACAGGCCTCTAGTAGGGGATGTCTGTCTGCAAACCAGAGTTTCGACATTCCACAACTACACAATACATATGAATACTATTCCCTTTTCTCCCTTGAGGACGCGCGGAGGATATTCGGCCCCCTTCCGCGTTTGTCTGTGCACAGGATTGCCGGTAACAGTTTTTTTGGGCTATATATATATGTATGTCTGTATGTATGTATGTATGCATGCATGTATGTATGTGTATATATATATATGTATATATGGGTTCCCCCAAGGACTCTGCACACTTTTCTTACATCTCATCTTGGGCGGGTGTAAGCTTGAATGGGTTTCGTCGGCGGCCCTTGTGTGTAGCTTCCGTGAGCATTGTTTCCAGACAGCAGGGCGGTTGTCTGGAACCGACCTCTCATTGATATGACATTGTGAAAACATTGTGAAATCCAGTTTTTCCGATTTTTCCAATTCTCTGGGTACGAACCCTCGCTGATGCGGCAGATGGGAATGTTCCAATTCTCGAACCCTCGTTGGTGCGGCAAAAAGAAAACGCGGTGAAATCCAATTTTCCAATTTTTCCAATTCTCAGGCGCCGAACCTCGCTGGTGCGGCGGAGAAAAACATTGCAACATCATTTTTTCCAAATTTTCCAATTCTGCGGCGCTGAACCGCTGGCAACATCGATGAGATAATTGGAAAAATGGGAAGAATTGGATTTCACAGTGTTTTCTTTCTGCCGTACCTGCGAGGGTTCGGCGCCTGAGAATTAAATTACCCTGCGACGCACCCAGCCCGCGTGCATCAAATGGCAAGAGGAGTATGCCAACATTGGCAGGAACAACGACAGTGTAGACGCGGCGATTTGCTGTGCAAGCTACATGGGATGCGCGTGCGCCGCGCGATTCACAGGGCGACGATCGAAAGAACGAGGATTGAGGCCCCAGGATCGAAGAAGAACGGGCACGGGAACGAGGGGCAGGAGAGGGATGGAATGGAGGGCGGGGGGGGCGAAAGGCCATCGCGGAAGCAGCAGCACGCACGGAGAAGGTGATGCGGGGAATAGGACGACGGTGAAAGTGGCTGGAGGAGACAGAAGACTGCCGCGTTTTTCAAGCGCGAGCTAAACCCGCAGCGCTGCCTGCGCCATGTCGTCGCAGAGTTCCACATGATAAAACTTGTTTAGAGTGCAAGGAACGAGCGAGGCGTAGCTCGCCCGCTAGCTTCTCCGCCTCCTTCCCGCACATTTCAGCGCGGGAGCTGAACGCTCGCAGGCGCGCCGCCAGGTCTGCGGGCGGCCCGCGGGAAAGAAACTCAAGGCCGGGGTCGCGCATCATCAATCGGTTGTCCATCGTCCAAAGTTGCACTGGCGACGTACTGGTTGAACGCGGAGCGAGCAGCATCACGCGCGTGCCTGAACGCCACGCAGGTACAGTGCACGCGCGATTGGGACTTCAGGTCGATCACGCGCGTCTCCACCAGGCTTGGCAACACCACGCGACTGAGGATCTCACTGCGGTCTGCCATGCTGCTGTCCGCGAATGCAATGCGCTGCCTGCAAGTAAGGCGGCGGCGTCCACTTGTCTCAGAAGATGTCCCCGCGGGCCCGAAGGGCGACCGCCAGCTCGAGCCGCGGCGCCGGCAAGCCAGATAAGGATCATGCAACAGCAAAAACCATGACAGAGCAACGAGGTATCGGCGAGTGCATGACCGGCCTCCGTTTCCTGCACTTCTTTCCTGTAGTTCCCCTAGCTCATCGAGCTCAGCAGATGTTTCTGCGGGTCCGAAGGGCGACCGCCAGCTCGATGTTGCAAGCGGTTCAGCGCCGCAGAATTGGAAAATTTGGAAAAATTGGATTTTACAATGTTTTCCTCCGCCGCGCCAGCGAGGTTCGGCGCCTCAGAATTGGAAAAATTGGAAAATTGGATTTTACAGCGTTTTCTCTCTGCCGCACCAACGAGGGTTCGAGAATTGGAACATTCCCATCTGCCGCATCAGCAAGGGTTCGTACCCAGAGAATTGGAAAAATGGGAAAAATTGGATTCACAGTGTTTTCACCATGCCATATCAATGAGAGGTCGGTTCCAGACAACCGCGCTACGCTCCGCCTGTGGGCCATTGCACAGGGTGGCGGGATCGATCCACGGGCTTCCACAGCAACGACATTGAGAGTGAGAGCTCTCGCATGAAGATGTGGTTGCGGGCTCGCTATAGCAAGATGCCCGTGCTCAACGCAGTGGCCAGCGATGCAGTTGGCGCTGCAAATCAGCACGGTGCACCTTGTGCGGAAGAGCAGCTGATGCCACTGCCCGACCTTGCTGAGTATGCCCACTACGTCAACTCAGGGAGTTCGATGGCAGTGGCGATGAAAGCGCTTGCCGATGCCCACGGCGGATCGTATGTGCCGTTTCGTTTCAACTGACGCTCCCATCGAGTGCTAACGCGACATTAGTTCTACCTTGCCCGTGCCCGCGACGAGTCGCACGCGCCGTTTCGCTTCCGATTGTTTTCAATGATGCGGCGTGCAGGCTCCCATTGTGCGGTGTGGGCGCTAGCGCTGACTAGGTTCAATGTCGACGGCGGTGCGCGCGAAAAATGGAACGACGAGAAACCCTGCAGGGCCCTTTGGGGGGGGGGGGGGGGGGGGGGGGGTACCCATATATATATATAATATATATATTATTATATATATATATTATATATATAATATTATATTTATAAGCGCTGGCGTCATTTCCGGCCTTCCGCTCGTTCCGAATCGTGCTGCCGCTGCAGCGTTGGCCTCATTTCCGCGCTTCCGCTCGTTCCGAACGTGCTTCCGCTGCAGCGCTGGCTTCATTTCTTTGTTTTCATAAGTGTTTTTGGTAATCAGATTTTTTCCGGTTCTTCAACATGTTGCTCCGCTGCAGCGTTGGTCCCATTTCTGCGCTTCCTGGTTGTTCCACAACGTGCCCCCGCTGCAGCGCGGGCGTTTTCGGTCCTTCCAAATCGGCCCCGTACTTTGAAAACTACCCCCAGCCACAAAAACATCGCAAGTGCTTCCGCATCCGGTGTCGATTCGTTGAGTTTTTGGGCCGCAGAAGGCCTCCCCACTTCGGGGGGGGGGGGGGCGTTTGGAGGAAGTATCAAGCGGGAGTCCCGTTTCTGCTTTCAGAAGGCGATGTTGCAAGCAGAGCCAGCGGGTGCTTTCCACCGGCGCCGCCTTGTGGGGAGCTTGCCGCGGAACCAATGAGCTAAACATGGAATCGCGACCCCAGACCGGCCCCGACCCTTCGAAGGTGATCCACTTACCCTCCAAGGGGCCTGGTGTCCTGCCATGACATGCTGTGCGGTGTTCTGTTTTGCGCTGCTGTGGGATGCCATCCTTTACGTTGCAATGCTTTGTGATACGCTGCTTCACAACGCAATGCCACGCCATGCTATGACGTTCTACGGTTTGGTGTGCTCTTCTACGCCATGCCATGCCGTGCTTAACGATACATCGCGCACCCTCTCGCGGTCATTGCCTTGCTCGACATCCGACTGTGCGAATAGAGAGTCTATCCCCGCCATGATAAAAAAATATGGGAGGGAGTTGCAGGGTGTCATATGTGACGCGAACGCATCTTGTTTTTCCTGCTCCCCTTTTTTTCAGTTGGCACGGAGGTGCATGACGCCAGAAACCAGCGCAGCAAGTCATCTCCAACATAAGTGTACCACTTCAGCCCGATGAGCGATGTCAAGAAAAATGATCCGAATCCCGACAAGGGTGGCTCGGTCCCGAACGCCCTCCCAAGTGGATCCCAAACGGCCCAAGATGGCCCCACGGCCGCCGGCGGCCCCAGAGGCCCCACGAAAACCCCAAGAGACCCCGACGAGTCCCCAAGACGGCCAAGACGGGCCAGGGACGTCCCAAGATGGCCCCAAGAAGGCTCCAGAACGGTCCGTAGCCAGAATGGTTCAAGCCATTTTGGCTCAAGCAGCGCCTGCGTCCTTGCTTCGTGGCCGCCACCGGGCCCAACGGCGGTGAGCACTGGTGCGCGCCCATCGACCATGGAGGCCGCAACCCAACATTCCTCGGAAGGGAGAGCCCAGCGGAACGTGTTTGCGTTTATGTGCGCCACTTGGTTCGTGCTGGGCGGCTGCGTTCTGCTTGTTTGCGTGGCCAGGCAGGAAAGGCACAAGTCGCGACGATTGTCGGTGGGTTCGTACTTCGGCCAGCTGTTGGGACGGTGCAGAAGTTAGGTGCTTAGCCTGGCTGGCACAGTGGACGGCCTCTCCGCGAAGCAGCTGGCCCAGGAGTTGCAAAAGTGGCGGCTGGTTTGCGCGCGTGCCGCGATCCCATATGGCTGCGTGGCCGTTGCAAGCGTTCTTGGATGCGACCTGTACTCGGCCGCCAAGGGTGTCTCGCGCCCGACTTTTCTTTTTCTTTGGGCGTTTCCTTCAAGCCTAACGTCAAGGCTAGTGGATGTGTGGTCTTCCTTTATGCTGGCATGTATTGTCCTGTAGGTATCACCTTTGGCCTCATCAGGGTTGTTCGCAGCCTCCTCCATCATCTTGCCCACTTTTGGTACGCTGTTGGTGTTCTTGTTCAACATGAACTTCCGCGTCAACTTCACATGGCTATGGATCGTATCCTTGGCAATCTGCAGCAACATATCTTTCGGCGCCAGCAGCCCTCTTGAAGACTGTCTGCCGACGCCGTTTTTTTACCGGTTCAGTCGCCGTTTTTTGACCGGCTCCGGCTCCGGTTCCAATCTTGGAGCTGTTTTTTTGCTGTTTCTGGTCGCCTTTTTTTTTGTTGCCATTTCCATTTTCAAGAGACATTTTTTTGGAAACGGTGAAAAAACGGCCCTGCCGTTTCCGGGGTCCACAAAGTCCCAGCAGGACCGCGAGAAGTTCTCGGAGCAGATGGACAAGGTCTGGCTTCTGAGCGAGTATGCGGTCGGGCTCGGCGCGGCGTTCCACGTCTCCCTGAGGGACGACTCTGGCATACCCTCCACGTCGAGGTGTTCTGCGTGCGCTTCGTCAGCCGGGAGGGGCAGGCCGCGTCTTTCTTCGGCATCCGCGAGTTCACGGACACAGCCACGATGCTGAGGGACAGCGGGTCGGAGAGGACGCGGTATGGCGGCAGACTGAGCGGCCCTCCGAGCGCTTGCACAGCACATCTCAGGCCACCGGCTGCGCCTGCAGACTCCACGGCCTCGGCCTCGAGTCAGGCTTCCTCGGACGTGAGCTCCGAGCCCTGCTCGCTGGACGAGAGCTGGGAGGACCCGGGCGCCGAGGCGGAGCCCGTGGCCTGGGTCGACGTCTTGACCCCGAACTACTCCGTGAGGCTCGCATCCCCCGCGTTCGCGAAGTACGTGGACGCCCGGGGCGAGCTCCTGACCGCCATGCGGCCGTCTCACCAGAGCGAGTTCATCAGCTGGGCGCAGGACGCGTACTTTGCTCTCCTGGAGGAGGGCGTCGCTTCCGCCCACCTGCAGTACCACGAGCGGCTCCACTTCAGGTCCTTTGCGCAGCAAGAAGGCGCCCACAGCTCGAGGGGGTCGAGGCGGATGCTCTCGGCGCTCCTGAGGCTCGACCTGACGCGGCCGCCCGACGTCCAGGACCTCGGCCGCGGAGTTGTGCGTATCGTCCTCCAGGACGTCCTGCTGGGCCGGCGCGTGCCCCGCGGTCCGCGGCGGCTGTCGCGCGCGCCACGGCGCCCCTCCGGCCATCACCCAGGCCGCCAGCGGCCAGCCTCTGGCCCAGGAGCAGGTCTCGCGGGGGGCTTCCCAGGCGGCCGCTCTCGCGGGCGGCGCGGCGCCGCCCGAAGCGGCGGGCGGCCATGTGCAGCTCGAGGGCGCAGTATCTCGGTCGCCCAGCTGTGACCCCGCAGCGCGGCTTTCGCAGGCAGTGAGGCTGGGGAGAGATACTCGTAGCCTCTGAGGCGCCCGGGCCGGCGCCGCAGCGCGCGCGGGCGCTTGAGCGCGCCCCGCGCCACCCCCCGATGCATGCGTTCGAGGTTTTGGCGGTCCACGCACGGGCCTGTCGTGCGTGTGACATGTTTCTCGCTTCGCGGCAACGCAGTCTTCGCGCCGGGCGGGCCGCCTGTAGCTCTGTCCAGCTCCCAGAGGGCACGGGTCGCTCACGATTGCTCAGGCTCCATGGCGCTGAGAATCCCGACGCCTGTCCCGGCTCGGCGGCCAGGCCTGTTGTTCGCGGAGTTGACGGAATCATCTGCTCGCCCCGCCTTTCAGAACGGTTTCTTTCAAGCAGTGGCGAAGCGTCCTGGCTCGCCTATAGCCCTGTCAAACAATGTTCTAAGAACCTTTTGTGGTTTCCACGAAATGTTCTTATAACATTTCTGACTAGGGCTGTCTTGTTTTCGCACATAAGGCTTACATTCTAAGAACATGGTTTTTGTTCTTAGAACATTTTTGGGTTCTACGAACATGTTGTGGTAGTATAGAAATGCTGGGACGGTCGGTCCCTGCTCAATTCTTTGTACATGCAGATGCCCATTATGTCTTGGATCCCGCCTGGGGTTACTCTGACCAAGCCTCCGTGGTATGGGTGGGCGCCACGGTCCGTGGCATGAGTGGGCACCACAGCAAGCCGCAGATTTTGTCCCTGATCATCCAGTTCTCCTGTCCCGTTGCTGTGAGATTATAGTATTTTTCTCTTTAGTTGCTAAGGGAACCTCGCAGCCGCCCGAGGCAACGATAGTCTCACGAGTTTCGGCGTGCATGCACACTGTGCAGAAACTGGCGCGGGACACATCGCGGTGCTTCTTGCCTCGTTGCCGTCGGCAGAACACGTCTTGTGGTGTGTAACCTTGGACTGTGACTATTGACCCACATGTTCGGTGAAACTATATCGCTTCTCGCCCCTGGAAGTGATATCCCGCCCCATAGTCCCCTCAGTGCAGGAGTCTCACGACATGATTCAGACAAGACCCCAATCGGATCCCATCGAGAGCTCAAGAGAAATTGCAGCACGATGCCGGGGAGGGGGGCCCTGTAGTCATGGGGTGCTCCTACTGGGCAGCCTCGTCCATGGAGGGGGGGGGCGTGCTTGGAGGATTCCTGCAGGACTCCTGAGGGTTCAGGAGCCCCCCCGAGGAATTGTCAACCTGTTTGGGGTGCTAGCGATATCGCTCGGCGGTTCCCCCCCCTCGGGAATGGTTTTCGTATCTTTTGGCGTTCGGGTGCTGAGGGCAAGTGGGGGGAATCGACAATGGGTGTTCACGGTGGTTTCGCCCCTCTGCGATGATCATCATTTGATGTTCCGTCTCTTCTCTGCGCTTCGAGCTCTCTTTTTTTTTTTTTTTTTTTTTTTTCTCTCTCTCTCTCTCTCGCTATCTCCCTCTTACTTTCTCTCTCTCTCTCTCTTTCTCTCTCTCTCTCTCTCTCCCCCTTTCTCGCTCTCTCTCTCTCTCTCCTTCTCCCTCCGTCCCTATCTCTCGAGCTGGGCGAATGCGGCGGTACAAGACGGCTCAACAGATCCAAGCGGCCCCCCAGACGGCCCAAGATGGGCCAAAGACGGTCCCAGAGCTGCCCCACGGGAGCCCCAAGACAGCCCAAGAGGCCCCCAAACTGGCCCCCAAACGGCTCCACTTCCAATCGAAGGGCTGCCGCCTCTGCCGCCGACCCCAATTGAGCGACGTATGTTTGATTCGTTTGTTGTCGGGCTGCCTTTCCGAACACGGTAGGAAGGGTCCAGGTGAGACATCCAGGCTTGAGCCTCGCCCCCTGGACTCTTGATTCTCTTTTGCACCTCGGACTCCTCTCTATCGAATGGCCTTCAGCCCATCCCGCCACTGTGCCTGGGTTGTGGGTGTGAAGCCTATTGGATGCTCGGTGGGATTTCGAGGGTGACCTTTAGGGAGCCTCTTGGATGCAGTTTTGAGGCCTCCTGGGGGCAGTTTTGGGGCCTCTTGGGGTCGCTGTTGGGTCCCTTGGGCGCCTCGTGAGTGCCTCTTGAGTGCCTCTTGGGGCCTCCTGGGAGCCTCTTGGGGCGGAACGCTCGGATTTTCGGTTCGTGTTCCCTCTCTCGGGCCACTGTTGGGGCCGTCTTGGGGTCCTCTTGGGCCGTCTTGGGCCCTCGAAGGGCCGCCTTGGGGCCCTCTTGGAGGCCTCTTGGGCAGTCCTGGAGTGGTATCGGGAGCCTCGAGGGCCGTCAGAGAGCGTCGGGACGGAAACACGGCGAGAACGCCCAAATCTTTGAAACAACGAATGCAAATCAATGATTTTTGCCTATCTGGGTCCTCTTGGGAGGCATCTTCGTGGCCTCTTGATGCATTTTGGAGGCCTCTTGGGCCATCTTGAGGCGATTCAGGGCGTCTTGGAGCGATCTTTGGGCGTCTCGGGGCGTTCTGGGCCGTCGTGGGCCTCTTTGGGCCCTGTTGGGCCCGTTTGAGGCCCCCCAGCGCTCCGAAACGGTCACGCGAGAAACCGAGAAGCCCCAGAAGATGTCGCGATGTGAGGTTTGAGGCTCTCAACGACTCTTCAGGCGTGATGACTGAGGTTGAGAGGATGATGGCAAGGACCTGAGGGCACGCCCACTCCGTGCCCAGAGGCACGACGGCGGATCTACATAACCATGATAATCCGATGATCATCGTTCCGACAGATCGCATCGCATTTCCGAGCTCCAATGGGGGAGCCGCCTGGGGGTATTTCAATTTGTTGTTGGTTTGAATCGAGAGGGGTGGCAGTGACTCGGGTTCGCGGTCGGTAGATTGGGCGAGGTGGCAAATATCATCCAGGAGCAGCAACGACCCCATCCCCGAAGGGGAAAAAGCGGGTTGGGCAAGGAACCGCGATTGACCATCTCCTGCCCAGAAAACTGGTGTGTTTTTGAGTTAGGAGACCCCATGCGAGAAGTTGCCTGGGTCGGTTTCGGCGAAGCCATCATCGGTAATTTGGGCCCGGAGATGCGGCCTGTGAGGCGGTCGGGTCGGTCTCGAGACATCCCTGCAGTTCTGGGCTTCGAGTTGCCGCGCAAGAGATAGTCCAGCCCATTTCGCTTCGGCTTCTTCGCCGCTGTTATGAGGCGGTCCAGTTTTTTTGGCTTGAAACATCCTCGCAGAGCAATCTTCGCCCGGTGCATCCTCGCTATTCTGGATTAGTCGATGTTTTTGCCGCACGGCATCAGATCCCGTTTTCTCGCTGCTCTGGGCTCGCAATTGCCGTGGACTGTTCGTTTCGCTTGAGATCTCATTGCCACTCCAGGTTTATGTACGTCTTATGTCCTCACCTCACGTGGTCCCGGTCTTTTTCGCCTGAGGCATCGTTGGGACTATGTTTTCGGGGATGTCCAGACCTGAGGTGGTTCAATCAATTTCGCCCGAGAGCTCCCATTTCTGGGCTCGGAGATGTCCTGTCAATTTGTGTCACTTTTCAGTGGACACTCGGGGATACTGGAACCCTCCTTGTTGCCAGTGGCAAATCTGTCAATCGGGGCCACTTGTCAAATGGGCGAGGGTAGCTGGGCATTGCATGAGGCGGGTTGCCCGTCGATTTCACACACTAGTCACCCAAAGGGGTGGGCGGACTTCCTTGTCCTTGCCTTATATGCTGTGTGGCACTTCGTTGGAGGGTAGGCCCGACGTTACCCCATCAGCCAGACCACTGCAGCTACTGCACCTCGCCTTGTCTTTGCGCAAAAAAGAAGTAATATCACATCGCCTTCAAGGCCTGCTGGTTCGAAAGTCATGGGGCGTCGCGTGAAGTTCGCGGGAGGGGTCAATGATATGCCAGCACCATGCTTGGCCAGGCCTTCCATGGCCTTTCGCCAGCTGCCCCTGAGAGGCTTGGCCAACTTAGGAGCTTCGATTCCTGGCCGATCCGACTCTCGGGTTCCAGTTTCGGAGAGCTGGCGCAGTGCGCCCCTGAAAAAAGTGCTGACGCTCTGACGCTTTTGACGCTCCTGACGCTCTTGACGCTCTGGCGCTCCTGCCGCTCCTGACGCTCCAGGCGTCAGAGCGTCAGGAGCGTCAAGGGCGTCAGGGGCGTCAGGATCGTCAGAGCGTCGGGAGCGTCAGGAGCGTCAAGAGCGTCAGGAGCGTCAGGGAGCGTCAGGGAGCGTGAGGGAGCGTCAGGGAGCGTCGGGGGCGCAGGGGGGCGTCAAGAGCGTCAGGAGCACCAGAGCGTCAGGAGCGTCAGGGGCGTCAGGAGCGTCAGGGGCGTCAGGAACGTCAGGAGCGTCAGAGCGTCAAGAGCGTCAGGAGCGCCAGACTCCGGCTCCGCCGCTCGAGACATCCTCACAATTCGGGCGCCGCCGCTCGAGACATCCTCACAATTCGGGCGCCGCCGCTCGAGGCATCCTCACAACTTCGGCGCCGCCGCTCGAAACATCCTCACAACTTCGGCGCCGCCGCTCGAGACATCCTCACAAGTCAGGCGCCGCTCAAAACATCCTCACAACTCCAGCGCCGCCGCTCGAGCGTCAGGAGCGTCAGGGGCGTTAAGAGCGTCAGGAGCGTCAGAGCGTCAAGAGCGTCAGGAGCGTCAAGAGCGTCAGGGGCGTTAAGAGCGTCAGGGAGCGTCAGAGAGCGTGAGGGAGCGTCGGGGACGCCAGGAGCGTCAGGAACGTCAGGAGCACCAGAGCGTCAGGAGCGTCAGGAGCGTCAGGGGCGTCAGGAGCGTCAGGAGCGTCAGGAGCGTCAGGAGCGTCAGGAGCGTCAGAAGCGTCAGGAGCGTCAAGAGCGTCAGGAGCGCCAGGGGCGTCCACAACTCCAGCGCCGCCGCTTGAGACATCCTCACAGCTCCAGCGCCGCCGTTCGAAACATCCTCACTTCATGCTATAAAGCCTGGCCTGACAAGTCGGGGTGACTCGTCCAATTGTTCCGTTTCGATTTCGTTCGCCGTGCCTCATTCGAGGAGCTCGCGGTGGATTGCCGAAGAAGAGGAGGACTAGGAGGAGGAGGAGGAGGAGGAGGAGGAGGAGGAGGAGGAGGAGGAGGAGGAAGAGGAGGAGGAGTTAGGAGGAGGAGGAGGAGGAGGAGGAGGAGGAGGAGGAGGAGGAGGAGGAGGGGGGAGGGTCCGTCTCCACTTCCAATATGGCCCAGGATGCCCCCAAGACGGCTCCCAAACGGCCCCAAAAGATCCCCGAGACCGCATCTTCAGCATGAGTCTAAGAGGCTCGAAGACGGCCCAACGACGGCTGGAGGTGGCCGGGAAGCCAAAGTCATCGAACTTGAGGCCCTGCTGGTGCGACCCAGAGAGATTGCTTGGCCTTCGTTGTACCATGCTTCGGCTCCAGATGCGTGGCCGGGAGGGAGGGAGGGAGGAGGGGAGCGGCCTTCGATGCACCGTGGTTTGGCCCCGTTGGCGTGCACTACGGAGCCAGACTCGGGCACCCCTCTTCTTTGTTCAGCTCCTCCTCCGGTCCTCGGGCGGATCCAGAGACGCGCAAGAATGGCTGAAGACGCCCCAAGGCTTCCCTACGCGTCGCCGGGATCCCAAAAGTATTTGCGAATGTATCGGCCCCACCAGCCCCGAAGGCACTTCAGAATCGACCCTGCTTTCCTCATTGGCAACTTGCGACGCGAGTTCCCTGGCGCGTCTGGAACCTCAGCGCGCGCGAAACGCGCGCGCGTGGTCCTAGTACACATATGTATATACATATATATAGATACATATATGTATACACATGTATATGCATAGGTGTATGTTTGTGCTCGTTTGTTCCTTGGTTCCCTGCTGGGTCCCTTCCTGGGTTCCCTCCTGGGTCCCTTCCTGGGTTCCCTCCTGGGTCCCCTCCTGGGTTCCCTCCTGGGTCCCCTCCCGGGTTCCTCCTTGGCTCTGTTCCTGGGTTCCCTCCTCCCTCGTTGCCCCTCAGCCCAGGGCTTTCCAGGGTGCCAAGCGTTTCGTCCCGAAGAGAAGTCGCTCCAGACCACCTACGCCCAGAGGGCTGGTGGGATCTCGAGACCCTGGCCATGTACTGCGAGGACGGGTCCAGCGAGGGTCCCGCTCCGAACCAGAAGGCGCCCGGGCGACCCGGGACAGGCCGAGGACGGTTCCAGAACGGCCTCACGATACGAGGAGGAGGAGGAGGAGGAGGAGAAGGAGGCGGAGGAGGAGGAGGAGGAGGAGGAGGAGGAGGAGGAGGAGGAGCAGGATCATAAGCATGCTGAGGATAAGTGCAGGGACGGCCAGTGCTTGGCGGAAAAGGGGTCCAGCGAGCAAATACGCACACCGCCAATTTGCGTCCAAGAGCCTTCGCGATGGTCTAGGAGCCCTCTGACAGAGCCCACGGACCCCCCAAGCGAGGCCCTGGAAGCCCACCCTGGGGCTGCCTGGGGCCCCTTCGGGGCTCTCCGTCTCCGCTCACCGGCGTCTTCTTGGAGCCATCTTCGACTTCAACGTAACGTCTTCGGAGTCGGCTTGAACCGAAGCGCGCTAGTAGCGCGCGCGCGTGGTTCTAGTTTTCCTTCATTATTTTTCAATATCACATATAGGTATGTCTTTATGTCTGGCTGTCTGTCTGTCTGTCTGTCTGTCTGTCTGTCTGTCTGTCTGTCTGTCTGTCTGTCTGCATGTATGTATGTATGTATGTATGTATGTATGTATGTATGTAGGCTTGTGTGTATGCATGTATGTGTGCATGTACGTATGCGTATGCGTATGTGTATGTGTATGTGTATGTGTATGTGTATGTGTTTGTGTATGTGTGTGTGTGTGTGTTTGTGTATGTGTATGTGACTGTGTATGTGTATGTGTATGTGGATGTGTATGTGTACGCATGTATGTATGCACGTATGCATGTATGCATGTATATAGGTTTGCATGCCTGTATGCATGTACGTACGCATGACTGTATGCATGTATGTATACATGCGTGTATGTATGAATATTTGCATGCATGCATGTACGCATGTATGTATGGACGCATGCATTCATATGCGGATGCATGTATGTCTGTACGTATGTTCGTATGTATGTATGTAGGCATGTGTGTATGTATGTATGTATGTATGTATGTATGTATGTATGTATGTATGTATGTATGTATGTATGTATGCACATCTGTATGCTGGTATGTATGTATGCATGCATGCATGCATGCATGTGTGTAGGCACGCATGTATGTATGCGTGTGTTTTCGCACGTGTATGTATGTATGTATGCATGCATGCATGCATGCACGCATGCATGCATGTATGTATGCATGCATGCATGCATGCATGCACGTCTGTATGCATGTACTGTGTGTATGAATATATGTGTGTATGTATGCATGCATGCATGCATGCATGCATGTATGTATGTACGTAGTTATGTGTACATATATGCATATATATTTTTATATATATATATATATATATATACATGTGGGTGTATATATATGCATATGTATAGACACATGCACATGCATATGTTTACATACATGTATATGTATACGTATATGCAAATGTATATGCACAGGCATATGTTTGTGTATACATGTATATGTACATGTAACTGTATATGTATATGTATATGTGTGTATAAGTGTATGCAAATGTGCATGTATCTATATATACATGCATTCATGTATGTATATATGTGTACATATGTATGTATGTATGCATGTATGTATGTATGTTTGTATGTATGTATGTATACCTGTACGTATGTATGTATGTATGTATGTATGTATGTATGTATGTATACATGCATATACATACATATGTATGTATATGTTTATTTATTTATTTGTTTTTATATATATATATATCGATGTCCACATCTATATATATATATATATATATATATATATATGCACATGCCCATTTCCACTTGCCCCCGTCCCGCTCCTGCCCCTCTCTCCGCCGGGGCCGTGTCCGGGCTGGACCGCCGCGAGTCCCCGCGGGCCCTCCCCGGACAGGTCTTGATCCACTGCAGCGGGTTGCCGTGCTTCCGCATCAATCTGGACGAGTTCCCCAAGATCCCGGAGGACCGGGGACAGAGATGGCTTGGGGGGCGCGTCATGGGGGGGCGATAAGTGGGGGGGGGGGGGGGGCAGCGAGGGCTGCAGAACAGGGATAGGACCCCCAGAGGGGGCCCTTCAGGGCACCTGGAGGGGCCCTTCAGGGCCCCAAAGAGGGCCTTCAGGGCCCCAAAGAGGGCCTGCGAGGCTCAAGCAGAGTACCTTTCTTCTCCCAATTTCACTTCCCCCTTTTTTTCGCGCCCAGCTGGCATCAACCCGAGAGGAAAAATGATGAGGGATGATGGGAGGAGATGATGGTGGTCCTGCTCGTGATGCCGATGGTGATGGTGATGATGGCGATGATGGTGATGATGTTGCTGCTGCTGGTGATGATGATGAGGATGGTGCTGCTGATGATGCTGATGCTGCTGCTGATGATGATGCTGATGCTGATGCTGATGATGATGATGCTGCTGATGATGATGATGATGATGATGATGATGATGATGATGATGATGATGATACTGACGATGATGATGATGATGCTGATGCTGATGATGATGATGATGATGATGATGATGATGATGATGATGATGATGGGTGCTGGTGATGATGGTGACAATGGTGGTGATGATACTGACAATGGTGGTGATGATGATAATGATGCTGATGATGATGACGGCGCTGACGGGGCCAGAGGAGGAACACGCGGAGCAGGAGGGCTGGATAGAAACGGAAGATGAGCTGCTGATGGTGCTGATGGTGGGGATAGTGGTATGGTCGCGGTGATGATGACGATGGTAGTGGTGGTGATGATGGTGGTGGTGACGATGAGGAGGACGGGGGGTGAGAGGGAGGGGAATGAGGAGGATGGTCGTAGGCGGGAGGAGGCCGCAATTGCATC